AGCTGCAGCAGTCGTGAATCCAACCACGTCTCAGTTCGGGCTCCGGGTTGAAAGCTGTTTCGCAGCGTGCAGCCTCCAACCTGCTGAGCCAGTAGCTTGTCAATTCTTTGTGAAATGACTTGAGGACAAGGTAAAACTCTGTCACCCGGCCTGTTTTGAATCCATTACGTTGTGGGTAGCCTGGGCTTGACGCTCCTAGATCTAAAGGAGGGATGTGTGTGTGCGCGTTTGGACAGGGAGCTGTCTTGGTGCCTGAGCTCATAAAAGAGGGTGTCTCTGCAAGCTGATGTGACGGAGCTCCGAGTCGCCTGGTTTACAGATGCCTGGAGATGAATACCTTCTGTCACAGCCGCTTTATTCTCCTGTTTTCTTCGTCTCTCGGCCTGCCGCTCCTCCTCTTCGTCACTCCCTCGGCAACCTGTCGGCACTTTTATTTTGCTGCTCTCCTTGATCCTCCGCCTTTGATTCAGTCATTACCATTTTGGTTTTATTTGACTTGTTTGTTTGTTCTCATGCCTCTGTTTTTAATTATTCAAAAAAAGCACTGATGTCTTGTTTATTATGCTCGGCTATATTTTCCAGTCCTTTTTGCCATTGAGGGAAAGCTGGCTTTGTCGAATTATTAAGATTTATTGTCCAAGTTTTCCATCTCGGTCTTTTATTTGCATGCTCTGTGTGTGCTCTGTGTGTTTGGATGTAAATACTGCTGAGTAGACAATGATGTGGAGCGCATTTCCCACCCAAGACCAACAGTCCACAGTCGCACTGTTTGCTGCCACAATGCAGTCCAGACTGCTGTCAGAGTCGACCATGAGCAAGGTGTTTTTCATCTATAAAAAGTACATTATATATATACATATATATATATATTTTTTTTCTCTATTTAAAGAAAATATCAAGGCAACTGTACAGAACTGGAGGAGCTTACTTATTTATAAAGCACAGCTCAGGAAAATATCAAGAGTGTACACAGGCACAAAAACCCAAACCAACATACACTAGATGGGGAAAATCAGATTTATAACACTGAGCATGCACATATCTGCAGGCAGTGTTTCTTTTGTAAATCACTGTGCCACTGGAAATGTGCACTCATGAATCAGCCTCATCTAACACTCTTCACACCCACATTTATTATACAATGCAAAGCACCTCATGAATGCTGATGCAAACGCATGAGCTCGCTGATCTGCGGTTCTTAATGTTGAATCATACAAAACTGAGATGAAGACCAAGAAAAAGAAGAGAAATGTTTGCGTTTTTCTTTTTTTTTTTTTTCCCCCCTGGAACATAATTTGAGTTTCTTGTGGCTTAAGTGCATCTTAGAAAGTGCGTAGTTATATCTGCTCTGTATTTTTGGTAGATGATGAACATTCTCAGTCGGAAGTAATGCTGTTTGGTGTTAACTTGAGAGACAAATAAAATGAAAATTATCAGCGGCGTGCATTTCAGTTCTGTTTAAGATAAATTATACGTCAGACATAGATATTAACCACAGCTTCTAAGGTCTGAATGATACCAACCCTTTATTTAGATTTCAAAAAGCTTTGCTTGTACAACATTAAAAGAACTAAAGCAGTCTAGATGACCTTCTCAACAGAAACGTACAGTTTCCAATTGATCTCTTATAGATGCTGTTGCAAGTGAGTGGCAACCCAATATTAACATATTCCCAGTTTCTAGAAATAGTTGATTTCTGATCAGAAATTGCTGATTTACAGACTCCCTGCATTAATTTAAGTTAATCTGTCTAAAATACAGATTTATGATCCTCAGACTCTGTTTGGAAAATTCATCCTCAGATGTTTTTCTTAATCCAGTTTTGTTTTTTTCCTTTTAGAGAATCTTCTGCTGCTTAGGTTTTTTGTTTCTTCAAAATTGATCAAATTATGCTGATATAACCCACAATGCATTTCTAGACCGCCATATGGGGTGCAAAGCAAATTTAAACATAACATATATTTGTTGCAACAAAGCTATATAAAGTAGTTATTAGGAAAATGTAAAAAAAAAACGACATGTCTCTACTGTAACAAATCTTATCTATTATGATGAATTAGTCATACTGAATTTAATTTTACATTTTCTATAGTTGATAAAGTGTCCGATGAACTAGAAAGTGATGGAAGCAAACTAGACAAAGCTAAATATCAATATCACTATTAATAAACTCATTGATTTTGCAGTGAGCTGGATAGTTATGGACCTATTTACACCAAGTCTTGTTTGAATGTTTTGCATGTAGTCACTACTACTTCAGCCTTTACAAGTATTTTACATGCATTGCAAAATGTCTGTAGAAGCAAAACTTACAATGTCTTTGGTTTGCACATTTTACACCAGAAACATTACAATGCAAAATGATTTTTTTTAAAAAGAAAAAAAAATCAACAGACATGTTTACGTCTAGTAACTGCAAAATACATTATTCTCATTTGATGAGTAGAGATTTTCATTTTCCTTGAGTCTGAACACCTATTTCTTTAAACTCTCCTGAAGGTGTTGCGCAATGCATTCATGCGACTTCAACACTTTCCCCCTTGATTCCTCTTGACTTCTGCAATGTGCCCTCCAGATATGTGAGGAACTTAATCTCGGTTTACATAAAATAATAATGAAGTTTGTTGGACACATGAGGGCAGAGTGCCACATAGGTTTTTTTTTTTTGCTCAAAAGCATAATGCATCAACTAAAAGCTTAATTAAATATAAATGGCTCATATCAAGTGAAAATGCAGGACAAAATAGAGCAGCTTAGAAGTCCTTAAAACTTTTAGTGATTCGCTATTCAGAAAAATGGAGGACGAGCCATTTGCAGAGCTTTTAGGATTCTGATTATGAGACAGCGAGGGGCCTTCGAGGGAGGTAGCATTTCACACACGAGAGCATTAAGCACGTCATTGGCAGAGGTGGAAGTACTGCTCTTCAAACTAATAAAAAAGCCATTGAGCTTAGAAAGGGAAAAGGCATTTTGCAGTCATGCTGAGGGCAGAAAAACAAAACAAAAAAGATGTGAGGCCTGGTTTGAGCCTGAACCTTACTATCACAAACAAATTAAATTTAAACTCTTTAGGTTTTATTTATTTAATTTACTTAAAAATCTCTTTCTATGTTGTTGTCACTGTTTAATGCACTAGGGAGTTTGCCAGCATGTTGCTCATTAATCTGGTCGGTTTCAGTTTAGGTCCACATGCACAGCATGGCATCAGATTTTCAATCATAGTTGCTACATTGCTGAATATAATTTGATCTCATATCACCATCTGATTGCTGCTAACTTCTTAAATGCTAAGCATTTGTTTTACATTTGCGTTTATTTTACAAATCAGACCGAGTTGAGAACATGCAGATGCAAACATGGCCGTCAAATCCCACTAATGGGAGCAATGTGGACGTATACGCGTCTTGTTTGCAGAAGTGGAAAGACGCGCATCGTTTTGGTTCCAGTGTTAGTTGTGCACTGTTGCATACAACACAAGATTCAAGCTGGCATGAGTTTAAAAAAACAAGCCCAGCTGTCACTCCAAACTGCTGGGGTCTTGTGAACGACACAGAGGTACATCACTTAATTTAATTTCCAAGTAGCATTCATGTTAACGTTACACTGTAAACGTTCAAAGAGTGTTCAATATGATGTAGTTCTGGGGAGAGATAGGTGGTTGATTTTGTGTCTAGTGAACAATTTCTGCATTGATTTTGGTTGTATAATTTGATCTTTTATCCTATAGCGATAACCCACTGTCAGTTTTCTGAAAAGATCCAACAGATTTTCAGTTTTAAAATGCTGGAAGTCCATGCCATTCTTCTCTCTATGACAAAAAGGCCAGCTGTTCCATCACAGATCCTCACACATCTGCTTCACTTGCCTGACATATCCTTGTTTCTTTGCTATGGTGAAAAGAGATAACCATTACCCGGGGAGGCAGAAAGTTTTGGATAACTAAAAAGTTCCTGAACAAATCATTAAGAACTTAAGAAGTGTAAATGAGAAAAGCGCTTCAGTTTCATTTTATATTACATGAATTCTTAAGGGTGCCGTTAAAAGATGCAACGATCTTGTGATTTCGTAAAACAAACAAACAACAAAAGAAGCTACGCTTTTAATGTGGGTTCCCCACTGAATCAACGTGCCGAAATCAAAGGATGGATTTGTCCTTAAATTTTCTAGAGGGGATAATGTGGTTTCTACTGAAATAAAATGGGTTTGTGGTTTTTATTCAGTCACTTTTTCAACACATTTCCTGTGTCTGCATCAGTGCTCCTGTGTAAGAGTTTCCTCCCATGTCCTATAGTTCATGAATATTCACTCTCAGATTATCACCTTTTTCCAAAAACAACAAACTACAACATTCAAATTTTTGCCTTTTTTTTTTTTTTTTTTTTTTTTTTTCTGTCAATCCCCATGTTTGCTAGCAAGTAATGTGCTAGAATATCTCCAGGCTGCTGTTCTCTTTTCATGCTGTTATTTTTAACCAAACCATGTATAATATTAGAAACTACCTAGTAAGCTTTGTTGTGATTTGAAATGAGCCGCTTTCATGGAGGATTTAAGCGTTGTTTGTGTTTGTTATTGTTCTTAATCGTGTAAAGTAAACAGCTTACTGCTTCACACATGGCAATGAAAATCAGGCTTGTAGTGCTCATTAAAAAAGGAAGAGGTATTACACTGGTCATGTTAAGAGTTTTTCCTGCACAAATGGACCTGCCAGCATAGTTTGTTATGACAATGAAATTTCCTGTCACCTCAAATTGCATTTGGGTTTCAACCTTTTCCCTCATGTTGCTTACATTATCCCTCCAGCTCTAAGTAAGCAGGTTTTTCATGAAAACCGCAGAGCATACTTAACGCTTAGTCGGAATAGTATTCTCCCATGGAGGCATCCCTAATAGAGCTCAAAGACATTTATTTTTTTTCCAGTCAATTCTTAACGGCAGCAGCTTGTATGGGCAAATACGTTGTTCAAAACTGTCTTGACTTTTTCCTCGTGTGTGTTTCCGCAGAAACCCCCCTGAAGGACGGCGAAGAAGCGGCGTCTTCCTCGGACTCTGCCGCAGACCCCGCGTCCTCGCTGTTCAACCACTGGGGTCGTGACCTGGGCCCAGAGAGCCGACGCGTTGCGCTCAAAAAGTTCCGCTACTTCGGCTACAACGGCTACCTGAGCGACCGCATCTCCCTCACCAGGCCCATCCCAGATTTACGACCGGACGGGTCAGTCCACCTTAAACTGTGCCATTACTCAGACCTAGAAGCGTCTGAATCTCTGTTTTCCTTCTCCTCAGATGCAGAAACATGTCTTATTCGTCAGACCTTCCCCAGCTCAGCGTAATCTTCATCTTTGTCAACGAGGCGCTGTCGGTTTTATTGCGCTCCGTTCACACGGTCATCCAGAGGACGCCGTCCTACCTCCTTAAAGAGATCATACTCGTGGACGACAACAGTAACAGCTGTAAGAATCCTAAACCTTTTTTTCTTGATCTTCTTTTTGATATGCCCCATTTCAGCAATAACATAGTTTTTTTGTTGTTTTTTTTTTTTGGTTCAAAGACAGAATGTCGGACTCATTTGTATATCCAGTCTGCCTGGAGGGCCCATTATGCTTCACATAAGAAGATGTCATGTATTTGGATAACTCTGTTTGGAATGATTTTCTTTGTCCTAAAACTAATTTTTGTGTGAGTTTGCAAAAAAACACTTTGCAGTTTTGCCAATATTTCTTTGCTGACATATGGATTTATTGCACTACTTTACACCCAGCCCGTGTACTTGTAGTTGAGGATGGTGGAGGATGAGTTATTCTTCCCTCTTGTACCGTTATAACTGTGTAGCCTCAGATTTCCCAGGAGTAACTGGCAGGAATAGCAAATAATGACATGGAGACAGAGCGTCTCCCTCATCCTGATGTTAGAAAGATGGAAACGTGGAAATATTTGCAAAGAAACATGAGTTTTGACTTGGAAAAAGATTCATTTTCCCTCTTCAATTGATCATTATTTTCTCATCATACTGTAATTCCAATCTAATTGGTATTCACATAAATAATTGGAGCTGCATGTGGAGAGCCATCACGTCTCACAATGTTTTGGTTCGTTGCCCACTATCCCGACTGCCCATACATCCAACCACAGTCATCTGTGTCGAAGTGTGGAAGTGGTGCCTTAGTAAAGAAAGCAGCGACTTTGCAATTAAAAACAAGTATTGTGTTAAAACATTTTTACATCTAGTAAAAGAATAAAAGTGGATCCCAACTTTTACAATACTGCAATTTGTTCACTTCATTACCTCACAGATAGTACAGGCCAACCAATTCTCTCAAAGTGTTTATCTCTGTGGAGACAACTAAAATCATTTTAACTCCCTAATTTGTTTGTCAGACATAGATTTTATGATGCAGAGGAATCAAACATGGTCTCAGCCCGTCCATACCTGGACATTTAGAAAAATTTCAATTTGGTGGAGAAGAGAGACAATTAATGACCTCCTTTTTTAAATTGTTTGCTTATTTTTACAGTGTACTAAAAGTAAGTGGTGTGTAAAATTAACTGTAAAGTTAATTCATCCCTTCCTTATTAAAAAAAAAGAAAAAGAAAAAAGTATGTTCTGAGTAGTAAAAACAGAGTTTGAGTCACCGTTTCTCTGAATATGCTTTCCATATTTAGCGAAGGTTAATGAGTTAATTAAAAGCAGATTCGGGTGCATCAAAGCCTGTTTTTAAGTAAAAGTCACTGGCTAGACATGGTCCTGTTTACGATGTAATTAAATGGGCTGTGGTAAAAGATGACTACTTTGTTCCTAACATTTTCCATTTTACCGCAATTTTAGCATATCTCCAACAAGTTTGCCCTAATTGAAAATAAAATCCTTCCTCTAAATTAACCACCTGTGCTGGAGTGCCAAATTAGTGTCATTTTTAAATTGCAGCTGGGAGCCGCACAAAATCTGTACATGGGCGGCAAATTGCCTCTGGGGCACACTTTGGGCACCCCTTAGGCACTTAGGTTATACAGTAGAACAGTGATCCAAAGCACTGAAGCAAGTCCACCTCTGGATGACTGAAAAATGAAATAATATTGGCAATAATAAAATATGAATGGCTGAAAAACAAAATAAAACTTTTTTTGTAATCCACAGACGAACTTGCAGTGTACCACTTGGCATTACTGCCAATCCATAATCAAACAGAAGCTGATTAAATCCCCCCAAAGAAATTAAAGACTTTGTTGTCACATTAAAAGGCAACGATCCAGACCTTGAGTCCAATTAAGTGCTGGCTCCTTCAGGTAAGCTACTGCAACAAAGTTTTGTATTTCATTTAGTGATTATTGTATTTTCTCCTTTAGGCCATGTGCTAAATTAGGACATGAGTGGGCATTAGCTTCACCAGTAGTGTGTGAAAACATAAATAAATAAATAAATAAATAAATAAATAAATAACTTGCTAAGACAGTTGCAGTCAAAGCCTGGATGTGACGTTCCGTTTCTGGGCCAGTGTTATTAATTGTTCCACGTTCTGCAGAGCATGTTGTATTTCATAGCTGCCAAATCTATAATTACTATTATGAGAAATCTGTCTCTGCTACATCGACTGCAGATTTTATGGGTCTCCCACTGCCCCTCTGTTCTTCTGTAATATAATATAACACGGTTTAGTTATGGTAGCTGCACATAGCTGAATGCTGATTAGTGTAGCAACTAGTAGAATAAACACATTTGTCAATTTCCTCAAATTGTTCTCTACTAATTCATTACTATTTATAATTCTCTAAGAAATGTGACTTAATCCTCTTGCTTTGCTGCCACTTTCAATTGCACGGCGGTAAGTAACAATCAAGACAGGTGAAGAAAAGTAAGAGCTTAAATAATAAATTCTGCTTATTGATCTACATGGTGTAATTAAGACAAATTAGCTAAAGCTGGTTGAAATGCAAGAGCACTTACTGTGCACTGCCAAGTAAGTAGTAAATTATCTAGGACATTAAAAAACACTTTTGAAATCACAAACCTGTTTGAAAAACAGGTGTGTGTGTGTGTGTGTGTGTGTGTGTGTGAGCTGTCAGTGTTTTACCAGCAGCAGTCAACAAGCCTGGGTCTATGAAAAATAAGGGATTAATTGTCATGGGGGAGTCAAGTGTTCAGAGCATAGCCAATCCCAGTTCATATATTTTCACCTTAAGATGAGTGGTTTAAATGCTGGTGTTGCCGTTACTGGCTTAGCAACACTAACGTTGTTAAGTTGTTTACCAAAAAATATAACGAGCTACAAAAGCTGCAATACTAGAAGATGCTAAAAATGTTTCTGTCATTTTCCAAATCAAAATGCTAGAAACATTTTGATTTGGATAAAGTCAATTTGAAAATTATCCACTTAAGTCTACTGGTACCTCTAAGTTAAAATACTGTGAAGAGGCTCAATATTTTTTTCACTTAATTCATAAAGTGAAATCAATATATTGCATATTGATTTCACTCTGCAATGCATCATCTTGGAGTGTGAAACATTTCAAGCATTTTTTTTTTTTTTTTGTATTTTATGATTGCAACTCACAGATGATAGAAAAGGGTTTCAGAAATCAGAATGTTGTGAAAAAATGATTGGAAATGCAAAGTACCGATCATTAATCAGCTAAATGGCTCTCAAGTTTTGCAAACCTGTAAAGAGTCATTGACACCTCTTAAACGTCAATAACCTGCAAAAGGTCTCTACTATAGGAGCTGGTTGTTTATAGAGTGCTGTATCTAAGCATATTTATCCAAAATCCATCCAAAATTGTAAGTTTTTCTGTACCTTTGGCGATGGCAACTTGGAGTTTAAAAATGGAGTGCATTGCTTTTACAGTTAATCTAAATAATATATGTCCGAGCGTGTCGCATATGCACACAATGAAGTGATTCCTGTGATACTCCAATCTCTTGCAATGGATCCATGTTACTTCCAGGTCAGAAACACACGGCTGCTCGTTAAAGGCAAGCACATTCTAGAGCTTCCAGGCTGATGGCATTAACGAATAAAGAGAATATGACAGCAGCCGTAGCCTGTAGGCACGATTACGCTGAAGAATCATAACAAGGAGATGAACATATTCTGTGGCCAGTGTGTACGTGTCTGTGTTTTCCAGTGACTATGTGCATTAGGAAATCATCTATGAAAAAAGATAACGATGTCAGTGACATTGTCTGTCGTCTGTTCTTTAATTTCTGTAGACCAGGGCCTGAAATGTTGCGTTTTAAGGTATCTTAGCCAACTTTGTGTTTTCGATTTATGCGAGTCAATAAAACTGATCAGATCGGTGTTTGAACAAGGCTCAGTAACTTCAGCCTAACGTCAAAGTGTGTTTCTGTGTTTCTTTTCTTTTTAGTGGAGCTGAAGGAGCACCTGCAGAGCTTCGTGGACGAGACAAACGCTCAGCACGGACCGGGGTTCGTCAAAGTGGTCCGCCACGCCAAGCAGGAAGGACTGATCCGGTCCAGAGTCAGTGGATGGAGGGTGGCCACTGCTCCTGTTGTTGCTCTATTCGACGCACACGTAGAGTTCAACACTGGATGGTGAGGAGAGAATTTCACGGAAAAAGAAATGAATCATCCTTTATTTGGCTTAGCCGTTCTATTTGAACGAGTTGAATCAGTTAGAGGTTGGTATTTGAAACTGTCCGCCCGGATCAGGACAGTCCTATGAATGACCGACATGAGCCCAGATTTTATTTTCACCCTCCACGTTGATGGCCCTTCTGCTCAAAGGGATGCACCAAACGCACAACAGGATAAGATCATGGATGAAACCAAAAGTAGCAGAGAAGAAACGGAACATATATTTCAAAGAAATAGTGGGAGATTGGTGTGAGATTTATGGAAGTGGGACGATTTATCATACAGGAGACAAAAAGCAAATACACAATGCATGTCTCGTGTAATGTTCTTATGAATACTTTCACAAATCTTTCCATTGTGAATATAAGTCGAATTTACACAACGTAGCTGCTGTTAAGTTAAATCTCAAAATACACGCATGGACGATGCAATCTCCAAATTATGTTTTCATGTTCAGGGATGTGAAAAATAAAAAAAATAAAAAAACTTGAACTTGAACTCTACGCTTATTCTAAAGGTTTTTATTGTTCAACTAAATCTAAAATTCTCAAGAAGGCAACTCACGTCACTTTGGCCATGGAGACGAACACCAAAAACATTAAAGCCCCAGAAGTTAAAGTATATTATTTGATCGACTAAAACAATGAATGAGTTGGGGTTTTTTTGTCGACACTTTCAGTGTGTGCTTGCAAAAGTATTCACACCTCCATTTTACACAATAAAGATGTGACATTGACACACTTTGAAGAATATCTCCCTTATCTATTTTTTTTTGTAGCCTCTAACAGGTTTTCTCCTAGAATTTACTGTTTTTAACTCTATCCATCTTCCCCTCAACTTCCTCTCCTTTAACATCTCTGCTGAAGAAAAGCATTCCCTCAGCATGATGGTGCCACCACCATGTGTCACTATGGGCATGGTGCGTTCAGAGGGAGGTGCAGAGTACATTTTCTGCTACTGTGTTTTTGCCTATGAACCATAAAAACTAAACTGCACACAGGTGGACTTTTTTTTTTTAAACTAGTTGCACTTTTATTAAGGGCCATGAAGTTAAATGGGACTGAAAACAAATGCATTCCACACTTTTCAGATTAAAAAAAAATACTTTAAACGCCACTTGACATTTTTCTTCCACTTCAAAATTATGCTGTACTTGGTCTGTTACATTAATTTCTGTGAAAATATTGAAGTTTGTAACTTCAGTAGTAGAACATTTCAATCTCCATCAATTCCTTTGAGAGGAGCTTTATAATCCAGTGAGACACCTATAAATTGCACGTGTGGCTATACTGCAAGATCGTAATAATTTAGACCCATTGTCAAGTTTTTTGCTCTCTTTAAACCATCTCGGCTTCTGCCCAAATTTGAAAAAGGCTTGCTCCCATCAAAGAAACGCAGGAACCACTCATCTCAGCGACATCTTTTATTTATCTTTCCTCTTTGTCTTTGGATTCTTCCAACTGACAGTGCAAAACCACCATGACTTTACATGGAGTAGTCAAGATAGTTACAGAAGTCACAGAGCAGGTTGAAAACCTACAAACAAATGAAACAAAAATCAATTACAGATCACAATGACCTAACTAACTAGTTTTCCAGGTAATGTTAACAACCTACTTTTAAGTTAACAGTGAATGAACAAATAAATAAACTACATTCTAAACCCATTGAATCAAAGGCTAATTTGATCTTCTGAATGCAGATTAAATGATATAATGTCCAGTTCCTACCAGTGCTGTCTTTGTGGAAGCTTGAAGCTGAGGCTCTTGGTCTGAAGAGATCATTGTGAGCACAGGTGTGCCAAGTTACCTTATAGACTTCAGATGGGCCTGAGTGAAAGGGATGGGTGCGCTTGATTCTCTCTGATGTGTGTGCCAGTTGGGTGGAGCTAGTAAATGCACTCACAAGTGTACCATTTGCTGTTTTAACTTGACACCCATTATATGTGCTGAGGCAGTGGGAAGACTGGAAACGATGAAGTGGTTCCTTCGGAAAGATCGCAGACTGATCAAAGCAGCATCGTCTCTCTCACTCGGTTCGCCTATGATTGCTGCAGTGAAGGAAAGGAGCAGCAACGTGTTGATAAGCTCATTCATGAAAAACCTTTTTGGATTTCTCTCGCTGCATGACTACTATCAAAAAGCTGTGTAGGTGGAACCTCCTTTTCTGTAAACTCGCCACTCAAGGCAGCTCTCAGCTGCAGAGGCCACTCGTTAGGTATTTATTAGCATTTTGGGTCACAGAGTTGACTGTGTAAAACTGGTTGTCATGACAGCAGACAGTCCTCACAATATAAAGTTCTTGATAAAAGTATACATTTGAAGTTATTGACATTTTTTGTCACAAACGTCGTTGCATATTTAATTTTAAAGCCATATGCCCGCGCAAAGTATCACAAATGTGTGACATAAATGGATAATGATGCATGTTTTTTCAGGTTTTTACAAAAAAACAAGTCTAAAAATTTTATTCAGTGGATTCTGATGCCCTTACATAAAATCCAGTGCAGGCAATTCAGTTCATAAGTCACTTATTCCAGTAAATAGTTTATGTGTAATTTGAAGTGCGTGAACATATAGTAGTAGTATGAAGACCTACAGGGTTTGTTAGAGAACATTAGTAAGCAGAGCAATTTTAATTTATCATCCAGTGAAGGAGTTTGGCAAAACTGCAGACTTATCAAACCATTAGGGAAGCTGCCAAGAGGCCCTTGGTTACTCTGGAGGAGCTGCAGAGCTCCACACCTCGGGTCTGAAAGTCTATGGACAGAAAAACTAAAGGTCACAAACTCTACAAGTTTGGCCTTCATGGAAGGAAGAAGTCCATCAGAAGTTACATTTTCAGTTTCCCTACATAGAAACAATCAGTGTGGCAGAGAAATCAAACTGAAACCCACCTTCCCCTTTGTGGCTCATGGTAGTGGCAGCATTTTGTTGCTTTTCTTCAAAGTGGAACTCATCAGAATTGATTGAGAAAACGGGTAGAAATTAATACACAGCAATCGTTGGAGAAAACTATTTTTAGTTGATATTCGGAGAGAGTTACTATACATTGTGCTAGAACTTCCAGGTGAATACAAACATACACCAGACTTTTCTGAATTGTATTTATTTATTATTAAATAAAAAGAAAAAATATATATATCTGCATTATGACTTGCATACTGTCATGAAGTGGGGTTGTAGGTGGTGAGGAGAGACGCTGAGACCCAGGTTATGGTGATGAAGAAGATGAATATATTTAATGATGATGCTCACAGTCCAAAAACAGGCAGCACGGCAGAAAGACAGGCACACAGCCAAATACCGGTAGCAACTGATACACAGGACTGAAACGAGAGCTAACGCTATCCAGGACTTAAACAGTTCTACTGGAGCGAACATACAAAACTGAGACGTTAGACACTGACAAACGACAAGGACCCGACGAGGAACACAGACAACAGGTGGGTTTAAATACACACGGGGTAATTAAGGAAACGAGACACACCTGGGGATCAATTAACGGGGAGGACAGGACAGAGACTCACAGGGAAACATAAAAAAACTCAAAATAAACACAGATCATGACACATACGTCAACCCATCCTGGCCGAGAGCTCATCTGTACATATTTTCAACAAAGTGAGTTTTACAAGAAAAAAAAAGTCTGCCCGTCTTTAAATGTTACAAATGGTTTCTGCATATGATGGACATTTAAATTATGTTAGTTCTCACTCAGCATAAAGTTCACAAGAAATTCTTCTTTTTCTTAACCCTCCCTGAGAAGATGGGAGAATAACACCAGCCAGCCATACCGAGACAAGGACGACAACACAAAGCAGGAATATTTCCTAATGAATCCATTAAGGACTGAATTACAAAGCAGTAGTTGATTACTGCCCCTATTAGCGTTGCTTGTTATGTTTCATCTGTCACGGTGATGAGGCCGCTCAGGCTCTCTAACATTTTAAGTGCCATTTTCTCTTTCCGCACAGATTTCATGTCAGTTTCTTTTTACTCCGGCACCATCTTCACCTCGGGGTCCCCCCCTTGAAAACGCTCCGCTACCACAACAGGGCTTTGTCCCCGTTAATCAGTTTGACAGCCCAAAATAACATCACACTCTCACGCTCGAATCAGAGTAACAAGCATGCACACAGTTTGCTCTCGAGCACATTTGTGCAAGCAGAGCGGGCGTTCTCGCTCGCACCGCATTACAGCGTCTGGGTTCGATCCAAAAGAGCATTTGTTGGCTGCTGTGTTCCAGATTAGAAAAAAGAGACACTTACAATGTTCCTAACCCTGCTACTCTAACACCCACACAAGCCCTTTATCCCTTACTCTCTCACTCCCTCTGCATACGCACCTCTTCATACACACACATCCCACACGAACCTCCTACGTGGCGGTACTGTGGGGGTACTGGTCTATGACTAATGAAATCCTTCTTGGCAGAGACGCAAAAGAGCACAGCTTGATTATAACGCTTGTAATATTTCTTCTTCTTCTTTTTTTTTTTAAATTGTGCTGAAATATTTATTGGTTTGGTGCCGATTGTCTGCGGATAAGTTGGAGCTGCGTCCATGCCAGCATTATTAGCAGTCAAACAAACGCAGCCGAACACACACCGAGGAACGAAGGAACAGTGAGCCTTGCCCCTCGAGTTCTTCCTGCTTTCATTTTTCTTCCTTCGCTAACAACTTCCTCTTAATCCTTCATCCTCCACGCTCTGAAGCACGCCCACTCCCTCGCAGATTTCGTATTTACTCAGAATTATCACTTTTTGTGGAAATTGAGAAATTGCTGTATAATTAGCCTCCATGAACTGATTGCCGGATCTACTAATTGTCTTTTTTCCCCCCTCATTGTAATTATCTGCAATGTTGCCTGTTCTGAGTCAAACACAAGTAATTACAGGGTGTTTTGTGTCAGAGTGATTGTCTAGCTGTTATCATGCTAATCCTCCTTTATCTTCGATGCTTTTATCTGCGACTCTCCTGTCATCTTAGCAAATTTTCCTTATGCAAAACAGGATGATTGCACAATGAGATATGATAAGGTGGGGCGAATATGTGGGGTTGGAAGCAAATCATTGAAAAGAAGGACCTTTGATTAATCTGCATAGCTTGGATCTAGTTACCAAAACGTTTTAAACAGAATCATAATAACTGGACACTTGCTTTTTTTTTTTTTTTTTTTAATGTATTTCAAAGTAATTGGGGTGCCTGTTTTCAATGGGTCCTTCAAATTGGGTCAGGATCCCAGAGCAGGTTTAGGATCTCCATGAATCAGCTCTTGAGATGATTGCCAGATAACATTAGTTTGAAAATTGACTGTAAATACATACAGCAGGAAAAAAAAAAAATAGGACATCTTGAAAAAGTGAAAAAAAAAAATTGTCATCCATTTCAGAAAGCGAAACATGTATTTCTTTATTTGGAACATAATCACAGAGTTGCAGAAAGTTTTGAGTATGTCCGTCATGAGGTTTTTTTTTTTTTTGGTTTCTTTTCATGGTGATGAATTGACGTGGTCCTGACCAGCACGGAGGGCAGAACTGCCAGTGCGCCATACTGTACTCTTATTCACCAGTTTGACTTGCTCTTTGAGAATTTAAAGCAGGACTAAAACCTTTCCACACCCACACCATACTGGCAGCACCACCAGTAAGTTATTGCACTGAACTTGTCGCTGCCTCTCTACAACTAAGATGCCCTCTCCATTCACCAATAAATACAGCACCAGTAAACCTTTAGTCACATTTTTAATGCAAAAAAAAAAAAAAGAAAGTTTAGCAAACTTGCACCAAATCCTTGCTAGCTCAAGCACAGCATTCATGGCCGTAGAGTCCGTACAACGATCATTTCAGCGTGAAGCTCATAAAGACGTACCACAAGAGAGTCATAAGGTGACATAACATGGGAGGGTTGTGTTGTGGGAATGTGCTGCTGGAGGTGAGAGCCTGGTGACGGTGGAGTAGGCCGTCTTGTCAAAGAAAGATATAAAAACCTGTCTGTCATGTAGAGGAAGTGGAGAAGTGTCATCTTTGACTTTCAAATTAGCTGTCATCCAGTGACAATCTGAGACATGTAGCTCACAGTGCAAAGTCTTCATCCAGGGTGTGGAGTGGGAGAATAACATGTTTCAAATAGGAATCGAATTGGTTTTGAAAATCTCTGAGTGTGTGGGCTTAAGTTTACTGCAATACGTAACAGGTTACCTTGATTACAATGATCATGTTGCGTCTTCACACTACCGTTTTTCATCAAAGTTTAAAAAGAATATTCCTCTTTAGGTTCAAAATGGAATACTTTGATACTCAAGATTGTAAAATCAAGTCCATTAGAGTTATTCTTTTCTTAAAAAAAAGTCAAATAAAGAACGAGAAACAAGTATGTATAAAAATTAAAACTGAGCATATTAAAATCCCTGGGTTCATAGATGGAATGTCATGTTGAATTTACCTCAAACTTTAACTTAAAAATAAGATTGAGCTAAAAATGTCAAGCAGATGCATATTCCAAGACTTTAATTAATTTGACTAAAAAAAAAAAAAAAAAAAAGAAAATGAAAGTTTATCTTTGCAAAAACTTGCTTGAAGACATTGTTGCTCTTGGGTAATAAATATAATTCCATTTTCTTTGCAATAAATTGGTTGATAATTAATTGGCATTTACTGAGGCTACGCTTCATTTAAATTAGAGTTTCCCAGAGACTCAAATCACCAAAGACTTTTAGCATTCAGTAGTGAGGAAATTGTCGTTTTTTTTATTTTTTCTAAAGCTTTTAAGCCTTTACGATTTCTTAATGTGGAGGTCTCACTAATTGTTTTCCCATTACTATGGATTTTTTTTCCCCCCTCCGGCTTAGTACAGGGCTTGCTAAAAATGCTGACCATGTTTCTGTTTTGCTGTCTAGCATAAATATCCGTTTCCAGAGATGAGGTTCATCTGTAAGGAAAAGACAGAACAACACAGGAGTTTCACCTCATCTCTAATCGCAGAACATCAGAGTATTATTAATAATCTGTCCATACTTATTGGCACTCTTGGTAAATAAGTCTTTATTTCTTTCAGTAGCAAAGTCTCACAGTGATCATAATGTCATAATGTTAACGTTGTGCATCTCCATGTTTTCCTGTAGGACAATTTGTCCTGTAATGTAAGATTTCACAAGGTTGGACCAGTGAGAGAGAGGGAACGCGTTATTCCATCCAAATTGTTCAAGAGTCCTGACTCTTCTCTTCTGCTCATCTCAGAGTTTGTTTTTTTTAATATACACTGCTCAAAAAAATAAAGGGAACACTCAAATAACACATCCTAGATCTGAATGAATGAAATATTCTCATTGAATACTTTGTTCTGTACAAAGTTGAATGTGCTGACAACAAAATCACACAAAAATCATCAATGGAAATCAAATATATTAACCAATGGAGGCCTCGATTTGGAGCCAGAAACAAAATTAAAGTGAAATGTTCCCTTTATTTTTTTGAGCAGTATATATATAATTATTTAGAGCTGCAAGACTAAAATGACAGTGGAAGACGTTTTATCCTAGATCTGCAAAGCACCTTCTGTGTTAATTTTATACATATTTTGGAGAAGTTCCCAGTGATTACCTAATTTCCATTTAATCCAAAAAAATACTACCCAAGACATCCTGATATTTCCTGACACGGCTCCTCCACAGTGGCTATGAGACGATTTCCGCATATTCACTTTTATTTTTATTCCAACATCTTTGAGTTAAAACCCTGTTATCTAGTAAAGCCAGATGAAGTAAACTGAATTTGTTTAGGTAACTTTTTTTCCAGACATGCTTTTTGCACAACCTGCTAAAAAGCATAATATTAAAGCATATATAAAATTCTGCCTTAATTCTTGCTATAGTGCAATATTATCTGGTCTTTCCCATTTCCGAGAGAGACTAAAACATGAGACTTGTTTCACACAATGTTTAAGCCCATTTATTTTATGCATTACATTTTATGGGAATTATTAGTAGTGTAGTGTGTTACTATCAGTGTCCTGGCTCTCTCATTAAACACATAAACAAGAATAATTACACCATAAACACTTAGTTCCCGCAGGAAACACTGAAGTACACTTTGCATTTTTAAACGACAGCCCTCATCAGCAAGCTCTCCCATAAGAGGAAAGATTTAGATTTTTTTCTAGATTTTATTGCCTTTATTCCAGCTTTTTAGTATAACTGTGCAGCGATTTCAATCCTCTTTTTATTGTCGTTAAGCATTCGATAGACATTTTATCTACGAGAGAACTGTGTAATCTTGCAAGGTTTAAGCTATTTAAAACTTCTCAGTTGAGACTGTTGGTTTTCCAACGAATCTTTTTAGTGAAAATCTTTAGAGGAAAAAAAAAAGTGCAGATCTAGTATAAAGAAGACAATAAGTGATTTACAGGTTTCCCTTCAATACTGAAACAAGGTTGAATTTTGCTTCTATATTATGACAGCTAAGCCTGATGCAGGAAACTTGATTACTTGTCTAAAAGTGCTGAACATGTGGGTCTTTGTCCCCAGCTTTTTTTTTTTTTTTTTTTTTTTTTTTTTTTTTTTTAAATATACGCAGCAGTATGTGATATCTGTCCTTGTTAAACTAACTGGACCCGGGTGAATACTAAGTCATCTCACTGTTCCTGCAGATTTGCATCCACAGGATCCCGTATTATCTGATTGTGACCTGATCTATAAGTTCATAATCCCTTCTCAGCTCTTTGAAGTCTCCAGATTTTCCCAGATCCCTGCGTGACAACCAACCTCATCAACAAGAGTACCAGGTTTTCCCCGTGCGTCCTCTTTGATTCAAATCAAAGGGTCAAACGGGGTTTAGACCGATCTTCCTGGGAATTCATATTCTAGACACCTAACTTAGTCCTTTCTCTGATGGCACCTTGACATCCGTAAGGAGTCAACACCTCCGCTTTTAGATTCAGTTTTGTTAAAGGTGGCTCTGACCTTTGTGATCCAGTCTCACTCTGCACTATTGATTCAGTGCACACAATAATTACACCATATCGGTTTATGAGTTATTTTTTTATTTTATTAAATCCTAATAAACATGAAACTGATAAATAAATGACAAGAACTACCAAAGCATTTATGACAAACTTGCTTCAATCTCAAATCTCTTAGTTTATGTAAGATAGTTGGCTTATTTTGCCTGCTATGGCTACAGTATGGCTGTCAAAAACTAAGTCACGCATTTATGTGTTTAAAAGTGAATTAATGAGTGCTCACCAAGAAGAGACATTATAAATCACTTGCACAATTTAAGAGCACACCTATTAGTTTCTATGTATAAATCCCAGATGTTCTTAAAACTTAATGTTGTGAGACTAAAAGAGACCTTTAAAATATCATAAATCAAAACTGTTACAGATAATGGAGACAATAGGCTGAAGCAGCTTTAAAGTTTGTGGGTATTTTATTTTCTAAAAATCACTTTAGAAGGACATAAAACAAAATTCATTTGTCTTTGTAAGTTGTTTAAATGTTAAGAGCCATTTAGTGGTGCCTAAACACTTGCTTATACAGGGACTGACTGTGGGACACATCTCATTTGAAGAAGAGTGGAAATAAAATAGAGTAGTTATTTATTATGCTTACCGTTTTGTTTGTTTATGAGAATTAAATGTGAATTAAAATCCATTGCTAGCTGGTTTTGGGTCAATAAAATGGGAGAGGTTTTCTCCGCCGCTTTCAAAACAGGAGGAGCCGCGTTCTTCCACTTTAACTATTTTAGATGCCTATTAAAGCAATTACAATCCATTTCCAGCCACCAACTTTTTTTCTCTCTCTCTCTCTCTGTTCATTTACGCGCAAAAAAATATACTGAAATCCTAGAAAGATCCATTTTGACGTTAAGCTTTAAATGCTAACAGTTGTGCGCGCTCCGTCTCCTCGCAGGGCAGAACCGATCCTGCAGAGAATAAAGGAGGACCGAACCAGAGTGGTCTCGCCTTCCTTTGACAACATCAAGTACGACACATTTGAGATCGAGGAGTACCCCCTGTCTGCTCAGGGCTTCGACTGGGAGCTTTGGTGTCGATACCTCAACCCACCAAAGTCCTGGTGGATGCTGCGCAACCACACAGCTCCCATCAGGTAAGCAGAAAGCTTCCTGTGCATTTCTACTGAGAACATTCCAACAATATCTGTGGGGGGAAAAAAACAACAACAACAACAAAAAAAAACCTCGGTTGTATTAACAAGCGTTAAGTAGCAATAAAGCGTATTGAAGTGTCTTTGATGAGATCACGTACCATGTTCAATTTTACGTCATGATGATTGAATTCTAATTCAAAAACACTTTATTCAAAATGCATCACGCATTAGCAGTAACCCGCTGCAACAGAATTGCAATATAGAACAATCACGCAATGTTACAAGCCAATACAGGCATATTACCAGAAACTCAATACCTGTGGCCTGTGTGATTAATACGGGTTGCAGGGCCTGATTTTAGAAATAAACCCAGCAGTAAAAGCAAAGTTGCTTACTCATCGATATCTGCGAAAACCTCTGCAGCTGCAAGCAAGCAAACACAATGTTTATAGATTGTGGCAAAAAAAAAGACACATCTTCAATATTATGACCAAGAAAGATGAATAGCCCCAACTATTTACTTGTCTATATGACCAAATACCTGAGAGCAAGAACCCTCCAGCTTTTTGACAGTGTTTTCTGAAACTCTGCCTTACTTGCAAGGAAATAGTTGACTAGCTGATTTTCAGAGTAGAGACAAATAAGACATTTATAAATTCTTCCATTTTTAATAGAGCGGCAAGAACCCAAATGCAGAATCAAGGCATTTGGCAGCGTAAGAAGCGTGAAACCAGCTAGCAAGATACCACTGTGCATGGGAGGATGAAACGGGTCGGATCTGAGCAGCGGTGCTCCAAATTTCAGCTGCTTGTATCCACAACCTGTGCATTCAGTCGTGACTTTTTTCTGATGACATCGTGTGAGACTTAAAAGGCGACTAGACCAGTAAATCAGTAGATTCACGTTTTACCCTTGTTAGCTGAGCTACGTTCACTACAGTTATCTGTGGCTTCACGAACATTACTGCAGTCCATCCTATTGTTGGTCTTTAAAGCTCAAATATTGACCTGAACTGCTTCATTTGAGGCAGATACTGACCCCTGATCCAGAGGGAGCCGTCTTTCTGGTTCAGAGAGCCATGACCCTCTCTGACTTAGAGGAACTGACTTTTTTTTTTTTATCATGGATGTCTCACACAGCTGCACGCTGCTCCGGTGGCAGCTGAAGATGCTAACAGAACCGCATCATCTCGAAAAAGCAAAGTTCTCCACCTCTATTCACAGATAACTGTGTTATAAAAAAAAAAAAAAAAAAAAAACGACCATAGTTTATATATGAGCCGTGATCTCAATGTGATGTTTGATGTTGAAACCCTGCCGTGGGAGCGTTGTCTGTTTGCCAATCTGTCTATCCTCGGGGAAGAAAAATTCCCCCCAACAAGTTGTTTTTGTCAGTCTGTTGTATTACATATTGATATGAGGAGATGTGTGGGACTGACGGGATGAATACTAATCGGAGTTATTTTTCCACTCCTGTTGATTCAGTTTGATGTTGATCCCTCCTTTTGAACAACTGCGCCGTTTGTTTGTATGACGACACATAGGTTGAGTTTGACATGCTAAGACGTTTCTCCAGAGCTGCGAATATGTAATGTTCTCGGGATAAAAACACAGCCCCTCGGGATGCGATTTCCAGTGTGGGCTAATTGTGGGTTAGAATAAAGCTTTTTGTATGTGGGCTTCAGAGAATATTTGCATTTAAGCTCCCGTATTGCTTTGCATTTAAATCAATTTTTTTTTTTTCTGACACCTCTCCTTCCTCCGTTTCCTTTTCTATTTCAGGAGTCCTGCTCTGATTGGCTGCTTCGTGGTCGACAGGAAATACTTTGAGGAGATCGGCCTGCTCGATGAGGGAATGGAAATTTATGGTGGAGAAAATGTGGAGCTCGGCATCAGAGTAAGACGAATCTCTGCACCCGAGGATGTTCGTAATCTCTGTTGCATGGTGCCATCTGGAAAAGTGTCTTGCAGCCATTGTCACTGTCTGAATTGAAATAATCTTAATTGTAGCCTCGTTCCTCCTGCAAAAGGCAGACGAATGACCTTTCCTTTGATATAATGGGAGCTTTATCTGTCATCCGCGTTTTTCATTTAGCCTGACTCAAGCAAATCGAGCTGATTATTAATGTTTCGACTTCAGTAAGATAAAAAAAAAATGTAACATCAAAACTTCAACATAGTGTTGAAAAGACAGTGAAACACCTTTGAAATAAAGCAACATTACTGGTATATTTTACTTTATATTGCTATGAAGGTGCTGTATTTATTTTCAGTTTAACACCTGCTTTTATGCTTTAAATAAATTCAAATGTATAGACTTAGATTTATGCATTTACAAAATACATATAGCTACACAAAATTTATTTAGATATGATTGAGACCTTAAATATTTACACCATACTTATTGTGTAGATGTATACTTTTTAATGGATCCTGGAGCTCAGCCAGTTGTCTCAATTTGTATGTTAGACTCATAAAGATACTAGTATTTTTACACGGTTCAAAGGAACAAGCAGACGGCTTTAAATAAATGTTACGTGAAGTTGAAGCAGGTAGTCTGATGATGATCTTTTTTTTCAGCTATTTCTTTCAGTTCACCACTACCACTGACTGTGAAATACACTATCACCATGACAACTATGTTTGATGTTTCAGTGTTTTTGGGTTTGAGATGCTCACCTTTACTCCTTCAGAGATCATGTCAGTGTGGCCAAGCAGCTTAATCCTAAAGTCCTTTTATCTGGTTGTCCATGTGGCGGCTTACGTATTTCTGTCAAACTTGAGTTTTTGGGTCGGTTGTGTTGGCTGCAGGAGCTTCGGCTCTCTGACACAAACAAACAAAAAACACATAAAATATTCTATGTAAAAATTTTGACACTACCGTGATGGTATTTTATAAATTATTTAAAGGATCATAAGTTGGAAAAAAAAAAAAAAAAAAGCACTCTCCTGCAATTTGGGTATTTTACATCAATGGTGGACTGACCCTTAACCTGCAACTCAAGTCTGAGCCAACCTTGTTACTCAGTTTTGAGAAATCCTTAAATGCCTCTGTGGAAATGAGAAGATGTATTTAACATTTTATTGAAAAATTCCTGGAATCCTATCGATCCAAATAAGCCACCCCTCCAACGCCACCACTGCACAGACTAATTATCTGAACACTGATGTTATCATAAAGGATTATTTGCTCCCTATAAAATGCAGCCCATGATCAGACATCCTCCCTGCAGGAGAGCTCTCAGTGTTGCAGTCACAACCCTGACAGTGTGTGCTATTATGAATCGAGTCAGATGTTCCCTCCAGCTGCTGGCTGCTCTGCGCACAATCCGCTTCTTGCCTGTGCCCTAGAACAGGGCTCAGAGTCACGCACAACCCTCTGAAGGAAGAAAAAAAAAATGGTGACAAACACAGAAAAGAAATGCTGAGGCTCTTCAAAGCTCTTAGTGATCTTAGTGATCTTACTGCTTACTGCGCTGATCTTCACATGTTTGACATTCAAGGTGGGCGGTAACGGGATGGGTTATTCCTCTATGGGCGTTGCAAGAGCGCACACTAAATAGCTGACTCAATTACAGGTGGACTTCTTAGTACTGATTTGTTATCATTTAAATGCCACATCCGACTTAAGCACTGTTATCAACCATTAATAATCACAGTGTACCCGTCTTCTGATGACTATTCCAGCACAATGCACAGCGTCCTGAGGTTTAGATCTTCTTAAATGCATATCTTCAACGTGTCAATGAATCGGAGACGAGCCTGGTAATTGAAAGGTCTGCCTCCTCGTTGGAACCGCTTAAAACCTAGAACAGAATCCTATGTGATAGATCAGATCTCTAATATAAAACTTCAAAATTCAAGAATTTTGTTTTTAATGGGGAAGCAAAATTGAATACAGAGAAGCAAACTTTTGTCAAATATGTTTGTTTGTTGTTTTTTTTTTTTTTGCATTCTCTTGCTGCAGCATTTTGGACCAGCTGACAGCTTTTAAATTTGGGAGTGGGGGCTTTTAAAGAATCGCAGTAATTTATTCTTTAAAAATAAAGACGTGGAGTAGTTTTTCTGCAGCATTATGGAAAAGGTCGTCGATGTTATGCAGGTGAAAAACGGATCTTGAAAGCATCTAGATTTAAAGCAGACAACTTGTGTCAAACATAAGGATGCAGCATTTTGTGGACAGCCCAACACATCTGGTCCCATGGCTGACTGCTTATAGACACTAATTTGGTTTGTACAGGCCAGAGCACATCCCATTGTGAATAAATTTAGCTGTTTGCACTTTGTCCTCTTCTCCATTGTTTGGAAAAGGTGGTTCTGTGATTTACCAATTCTTCTTATAGGAGCTATTGATCCTTTCCAAGCTTATTAAAGCTGAGATGCTCCAGTCCTTACCCTCTAAACTCAAGTTAAAAACAACAAATTGTTGTAGATTTCAACTGAGCTCAACATTATTTTATTTTTTACGTGTCTGTTGCTGTAATCCGTTGAAATGGTTGGTGCAGCATTAGTATTGGCATGCCATTTCTACCTAAATGGTCCCGCGATACATGAGATCAAATGAAATTTTAACTTGCCCGTTTTCGCAGAAATATCTTATTTTACCAAAACACATCAGGAGTGATGGGAAGAATCAATATCTTCACTCTTTTGCTGACTTCGCACCATAACACTGTAAACTGCTCCTCTTTTAGATCAATGATTATGCAAATCAGTGATGATGTTTTGACAGAATCAGTTGTCCTTGTGTCTCAAGGGCTTTTCTCTTACTCTAAATAATTCATCGCGTGTGAAGTTCAGCCCAGGGTTTAAGGCAGAGAACAGCCAGTTTGTTCTATTTCTATCTGCGTCTTTCCAACCAGCGGCGCCTTTTGTTATCATTGAGATTTATTTTCTCCGCCCCCCCCCACATCATTTTTTTTATTTTTTCGCCAAAGCATTCAGTATTTCTGGGCCTATTGTGATAAAAACTGCTTTCATGAAGCTTCATCTGCGCCTCGGCACGTTATGGTGCGCATTTAATCCTCATTGTCTCAAGACAGCTTTTTGTTATCGCTACAGGCAGTCTCCGCTTGATATGATTTATAACACGCAACTTCACTTGTTGTTTTATTATCTTCTCATTAAAACTTCTGAAAGTCCATAAGTACAATTTGGTGAACATCAACCAAAAAAAAAAAAAAAATAGAAAGAAAAAGTGCAAGACTAAGAAAACAGTTACGAGTTGTGAATGTTCTGCATGGCAGTTTTTCCCCGGAGGAGCAGATTTTTAGTTTGAAAGAGAAAGAAACAAAGCCCACCACCTTCTATTCATATTTTTATCCCCTCTCTGTACTTCCCACTTTATCTCCCTTTGTCACATTTTATTTAATGTTTCACACAATTTCTCCTTTTTTTTTTTCTCTTGTCTTTTTTTAACATTTGTCTCTATCTCGCTCTGCACACCCACCTTCTCAGACACTGTTTGCCATACTTGAAGAATACCCCCTCATGCTCTAACCCCGTGTTGTAAATCTAGGATGGAGAGAGCTGCGAGGTATTTCTGCGAGTGGCATTCACCACCTCAGAATTTGGCTCTGGTTTTATGCTCCTGTCTGGGCTCTGAGCCAGTACAACAGTTTAGTTATTGCTCTGCAGCAGCTCTTTGCTTTGAATGGACGCAGGCAATGAGGCAGCCCTGAAGGAAAGATTTAACACACAAACACAGCAAGGGTTGCTATACGCATTTAAAAAAAAAAAAAAAAAATTAAAAAAACATCCACGAAAGTCTGGAAATGCTGGACCTACCAAGGAGCATCTTTACAGGAGTTAGTATTGGTTTTGCTCTTAAATTTGTATGGGTAACAAAGGGACCTTTGCGGGGGAAAAAAATGCGGTAAAAGCAGCTATAAAAAGGACAGTTTTTGGAGAATATTAATTCACGTCTTTTCTAAGCGTGCTTCCTGACACGGAAGTACTTTCAGTCATCTTTTCACCATCCTCACTGTGGAAAATAGTGCAGGGATCATCATGCTGTGAGGACATATTTTTCTGCAGCGACTGAGAAGCTGGTCAGAGGAAGATGGATCAAGCTAAGTACCACATTTTACTGCAGTATACCAGTTAAAACCTGCAATAGACGTAATAGTAGGTTGAGTCAAGATTGAGATGCTTCAGATAAAAGTATACCCATGTATTAGATTTAAAATGGCAGAGAACTTTTGGTTAGAAAATATGTACAAACAGGAAGAATAGAGGAAAAATGTCAGTTTCTATGTGTGCTTATTGATATCAAAGAGACTTGCTTCTGTGATTGCAGTGAAAATCGTTTCTACAAACTATTAAATCAGTTGGCAGAATAGATGTGCACACCACACTGTATTACCCTTTTATTTGTGAGAAGTTTTTCCTTCCACTGTACAATTGTGCCGTATGTTGTGTTGATCTAGCTCAACAAACAAACAATCTATTGATGTTTCTGGCATTTAGTTGAGAAAATGTGAAAAATTTCATTACTACTTTTACAAGGTTTGGCACAAAGACATTTAGAGTAAAAATCAGGACGGCGCCAAAGCTGGTTCTTCTTTCTTTATTTGTTAATCAGGGTGACCTTTCCTTCCTTATTATTAGTTCCCTGAAAAGAAAACAGGATGATGACGCCAGCCTTTTTCTGAGAGGTTCAGACAGTTTCTGACAATAAGCATTCTCAGTGTTTGGACAAAATGATTAAGTGCTCTAACATTATGTTGAGGCTGCTGTGTTTTTTTTTTTTGTTTTTTGTTTTTTTTATAGGGAGGGGTCACAAATCATCTATTATCTTTGTGAATAATAAAATAAAAAGCTGCCAAGTTGCCGTCAACCTCCAAAACTCAAACAACAGCTGAAATGTCATTAGATGAGAAAGGTCAGCCAGGCTATGAGACGGTGGTACCCACAAGAAACTGCGACATGCCATTTGAAGAACTGAACCCAAGGATTGAACTTAATTAAGGCTGAGGCTGTGGTACTGTGTTTGACATTGTTTTGTTTTCCTAATTTAGTATTTGTATCTGGTCAACTGGAGGCTAACAACATAAAGCAGCACCAGTTTTGGCATATTTACATTGTTTGCTCATCTGTTTATTACCCAATTAGATAATTCAAATTAAAATAACAAATTGTCAAAATATGAGTGTGCCCTGAGAAGCAGCACATTAGGACTAAATTTGTGCTTGTGTTCACTTTCAATCATAAAATCCTAATTGTTCAAACACCTCAGATGATACATGTTAGTCTAACAGGAAAATATTAAAATGCTTTACAATCCAAGTAAATACTAAACTTTGCTTGGCTCACAGCTAGACCAGTAAATAAGATAAGGATGTGGCATTAAAACGTTTCTAAAGGCCGGTCCGTTCTGAACAAGAACAGAGAAATGTGTTCTTTCTCCCAGGACTGGGAGAACTAAAGGACATCATCCTGTTCCCGTCGTCCTGGTTTGGGAGTTTTCACAGCTTGTCCTTGACACGTCGTCTTCTGCTGCTGCAACAGCTCTTATAAACAGATGCTGCAGTCGGAGGAACACATGATGAGGACTCCCAAGAGTTCTGCACTTTACTTTTTATTAAGTGTAGGATATCCTGGCCAGAAACAACTTTGTTCTTATTCTTTCCACCTTCAGTAAAAGTAGAAATTGTTCCGTTCCTGTAGGTTATGTTATTGGCCTTAAGCATATGCTTAAAGTAAGCTAAAACTGACTTTAAGCAGTTGTATTTATTTATTTATTTTTTAAGCAAAAAATTATCAAGCTTTATGTCAGCGATAATTGCTGACAGACCCTAAAATATAAAATGTGTGTGTGCACGTGAGGCACAGACTCAAGACATGAGTGTTTTTATAGATGGATTTGATCTGAGTGAGAATTCAGATAAATTCCTTCCACGTTCATTTGTGTTGTACAAACAGGGACTTATATTTACCTTTTTTATATCTAAGTTGAAAAAAACAATCTAACATTAAAGTACCTCTGGTGGACTGTACGTTCGTTCTTATTTATAGTGAATCCTGCACGAAGCTGTCGTCGTGCTAGCTTGGCTTTGCTCACATATTTGACAGCTTTCCACTGTCAACAAGGTGTAGAAAGGTGGAAAAATAGCAAAGCACCTAGATGAGCATTCTCGGCATGGTCTTACGGCTCTGTTACGCTTCTGTTAACGGGTTGAGTCAACGCATTCGAGTAGTTAATCTGCTTCTTTCAACTCGCTCCGACTTGGCAGGTGCAGAAAACACCTGCTGTTTTTCATTTTGAACTGCCAAACAGCCTCTGATTATCCCAACAGGTGTGGCAATGTGGGGGCAGCGTGGAGGTCCTGCCTTGCTCCAGGATCGCCCACATCGAGCGCGCTCACAAGCCCTACACGGAGAACTTGACGGCCCACGTGCGGCGCAACGCTCTGAGAGTGGCTGAAGTGTGGATGGACCAGTACCGGAGTCACGTCTACATGGCCTGGAACGTCCCACTGCAGGTGAGCAGCTGCTTGGAGTGTCATTCTCATGTTATTTGTGGGTGAAAGACTGCGGGTTGGTGGAATTGTGTATGTGCTTTTTTTTTTTTTGCATTGAGGAATCTTCTAGCAACCACATTTAACTGGATTATTTATTTATTTATTTATTTATTTATTTATTTAATGTTCTCTCATGTATGAGCCAAGCACTGCCCCGTTCCTGAGTAAAGTAGCTTTTTCTTACCTGATTGATGAATAAACATTTGAACAGTGTGATTTACTGACAAAACATTTTGGGGGGGGAAATTTTTGCAAAACTTCGTGAATTCCATTAGATTATTAAAATCTTCCAAACCAAGTTTAGACTTACTTTATCTTCATAGCATTTGCAATCTTTTGATTACCACGGAGCTTTTTAAAACAGAAACGGTGCTGCATCTAAGAGTTTCCGCCTCTAGACTTCATACAACACAATGAAGTCACATCAACCATCCATTTTCTAACTAAGTGTTTACATTCTCAGGCCACTCAGCTGGACCTCATTTTGTCATCACAGCTGCCTTCGTTCTAACTGACTCAACAAGGTGTCTGAAACTGAGGTTTTGGTCCCCAAATAGGTTGCAGTTCCCAACAGTTGCTGCAGAATTGTCGCCTGCCTCTCGGTGGTGCAAATGTCCATTTTCCCCCTCACATCCCAGCTGCTGCTATTAACTTCATGTCATCTAAAACAAGTCTCCAACCTTTTCTGTTTCGACATATGACACTAACAAGGCTTTTTTTGTCCTAACAGCTTCTGCTTACTGGATATTTTCTCTGTTTTGGACAATTGTCTGCAAATCTGAGATTGTTGTGTGTGCAGTTTCTGAAATATTCAGTCCAGCCCAACAACGGTGCCACAGTCAAAGTCCCATAAATCACCTTCTGCATCCTGATGCTTTGAACTTCAGAAAGTAATTTGCAACATGGCTAGACGCATAAATGTAATAAGTAGGGCTTGGTTGATTGGTTATTTGTTTCAGCAAGCAGCTACCGATCAAAGAGCTTTAATGTTTTATTCAAGAGTAATAGGAAAAACGTTTTCTGTCAAAATTGGACTTCAGTTTAGTTTTTTAATTCATGGCATATGCTGTCAGTTTTTTTCCCACTTAAATCCATTCTGAAAAATTGAATCAGAAAGTTATCAGAATACTTTGTTAGTTAAGGCTCCCTTAACCATCTGCTGCTTAATAGCTTGCAGTCATCATTCCTTCTTTTCTAACAAAAATGGGTCTTTTAAATGAATGCCGTCCCCCCAGGACTTTCCTCTCCAAACATTTATTGTCCTCTTTGGGCTCCTTTATTATTTAAGGCTCTCAAGTTGGCCTCTTAGAACTGCTGCAGAGCTGGAAGGAGCCGGCGACCCTGAATTCAGCTGCGCGATTACTGCGGCCTTTCAAATCTGAGGGTCGAAGCGCATTGTATTTTATCGCACTGCTTGAGGTCGCGGAGTATTAGTGAAAAGCTAAAACTGGAAAACTAATGTGCTTGTGTTTACTCCTTCCCCTTAGAACTCAGGGATAGACATCGGGGACATTTCTGAGAGGAAGGCCCTGCGGTCCCGACTCAGATGTCGACCGTTCAGCTGGTTCCTCTCCAACATCTACCCAGAGCTGCGCTCGTACAGCGACACTGTTGCTTATGGAGTGGTAAGTTTCCTTTAACAACCCTGATTTCGGTGACAAAGACTCCCCACAAAACTACAAAGACTCCCCACAAAACGGCTTCATAGACTTTTTGGCAAGGCAGCAAGGCAGCATAAAATCACAGCGCTGCACCATAATTTCCCTCCGCCTCAAATCCCAGCTCCTCCAAACAGGAAATGAAGTATTTGGTGCCATTCACATTTATCATGAAAAAGTGGCCATTTTTATTCTTGTTATACATTTAGACTCTAATACTTTCAAATCAGATTTAGTCTTTTCAGAGACTCTAATTTTCCCCTTTTTCAATTAAAGACATTTAATTAAACAGTTTAATTAAATCTATAGGACTCGTACAATTAAATATGCCCAAATTAATGAGTCTCTGTTACATTCGAGCCTTTCATAAATGGGTTGGCACGCTGCCGATAAAGCCTATAATTGTCTCTGCAGTACGCAGAATTCTCAAGTTTTATTCCTGGAGTCTTTGACCATGCTCCACACCACTCAGCACTTACAGTATTTATATCAGTATTTGTAATGCACATACAGTTAATAAAACCTTTTTTTTATAGTGATAGCACTCGACAGTGTCAAGTTGAAACCTTGAGCTTTAGGGTTGAGGGGTAATCGCAACTTTGGTTTTACGCTGACTTTCTAGGACAAGAGCTCAGCGGGAATCCGTGGGAATTGCTTGTGTGTTTTAGGCTTTTTCCTGGTTGAGAAAAGCTTTAATTCACAGCAACCTGGACTCTTATCTGGACCCTCAATAAAGATGTAAAAATAGTCCAACATTTAATTAACCTCTTATTGCCAGAGAAGATGTTTATTCTGAAAAGCTGAGAAATGTCCAACCTTGAAGTTGCCACATTAGTAAATAATTGTTTTAACAGTGATCCTTTTGCATCCACAAAATAAATGAAAACAAAGTATATTTTTAATTTGAACTTTACCTTTCTAAGTTGAGAGCTTCTAGAAACCTTTTCTTTTTTTTTCAGAATGCGTGACTGAGCTCTGCTTCATGAGATCAAAATAAGTCGTGACACAATGGCCCATTTATCTTATCCCTGACCACTAAATCAGACACACACTGAGCGACACAGTAAAAGCGAAATCCACAAGAAGCCTGCAGCAAAGGCTGGCTTCTTGTGGACACCAGTTCCCCATAAGTCACAACATATCATATGAAAAGCTAATAAAAGCATTTGCATTATTAACTGGTTTACATCTGTTTGGTTCCTGTAATTGCACAGGAACAGATTAGACGAGTCTAAAACTGGGGCTGAAAATAGACCTATAAATAAATTACGACCAGACATGCTATTCAAGCAATGGTAATTAAACTGTAATCTTCACATTCACGTCCGGTGCAACACCTGAAATGACAGGTAATCAATGCTGCCCTCCCCAGTCTGGATTGCCAGTGGTATGAGAACAATAGTTTTTACATCTATTGATTTTGCTCTGCTGATTTCTCCAGTGGTCTGTGTGGTGATTTTTGCATCACTGAGAAGTGACAGTTTTTCCACCCCTCTGGCTGCTCATCCTGAGATGAGACGTAAAAAAATCCCTAACCTGTCTGTTCACAAGATATTTTTATTGCTGCGTAAGACTCCTGGTTTTATCTTAATTGTGTGAACTTCACAACAACTAAAAACCTCTTACTACACGAAAACAGTTCTTGATACAAGAATGAACTTTTTATTTTAATTTAACCTACTTATTTTCTCTTCTTTTTTATGCACTTCTTGTTACTGTGCACTATTTTATTTTTATATTTGTATCATGTTCGAATAAAATTTCATTTCATTACTTATCCTATGTTGTCTCGACTGACTGTATTTAAGCAGAAACATTGCAAGAGGGCAAAAACACTGGTAGGGTTTAGATAGTTGCAAAAAAATAAAAAATAACTGCCTTTGTGCAGTCAGACCTCGTTAAATGAAAACTTTTAAAGAACCAAAAGGCTTGCACCTGGAGTCGAGCCTTTGTCCCGAGCAGAAACGTGTGTTATAAGTCAAATGCAAATAAGTCTGGTCATAATAAAGCAGGAAAGTTTTAGTCTGATTTACTTCAGATATTGGAGACAAAAAGTTTAGTTATTGTTTATATGCATCCATGGTAATTCGATATAAATCGTGTACTGAGCTTTTCTAAAGTTTCTTCCTGATCTCGGTGTTGCATATCAGCAGTCAGACAGGAGGGCGACTTTATATTAGGGGTGCTGATGAAATGAGACGTGGAAGAGTTGCCTAAATACAGATGTTTATTTATATTTTTAGTAAAATTGTGGTTCATTTGGATGCTGGCTGAACAGCTCGCCAGGTGCATTTTTTTTTTTTTCTGGCCTTGCATCAGTCATGTTCAAATATGCTTTCAGGCAATAATGTTTGCCATTTTGTTCACTCGTCTGGGAGTCATACCCTTAAGTCATCTTTAAATTACCAAGCCATTCCTCCACCAAGAAAAACTAAAAATCATATCCAAATAAAACATTGGCAAAGAGAATAATATTGGTTTTATACTTTTTGGAGATTTTGGTGACCACATACAACCTTCTGAAATGTTCCAAATAAGATTAGTCTGTTCCTTATTTTTTATAATCTGGCTACCCGGAAGCAAATTGTCTGTAGGTCCTGCCAGTGTTTTAGAAGCTGAATTTTAAGGTAAGTGTTTCCTTTGAGGCTCACTCAGTCTTAGTACCTTTGAGCAAGAAGTTGATTTGCCAACTTATGCGTGGACTTGACCTCTGACATGTGCATGAAATGGAGCAGGAGCAGAAATCCCTCAGGGGATCAATAACGTATCAGATTATTGTGAATTGCCTTTTTGATACGTGACACCAACATGACACATTATGAGATAGAAAGCTCTGATCAGCCCTCAAAAGCTCGAGCACTACGCTGAAACCCCTGCAGGACCGTATGTGACATGACTGCAGAAGAGCACAGAGAGACCGTGGGATGCAGTAAGAAATCCGAAGCAGAGATGAAGTCCTGATCTTGGAGCTTGAACGATAACTTGTCTAGAGACGGAGAAAAAGAGCTCTACATAGGACAGATATTTGCAGTAAATGAAGAAATGTCATTCGAACTACCCACTCATCTAAAACTCCGAATTTGGCACGTAGTGGGATCTGATTTAGTAGACATTTGATTCATCTCAGAATCTGAATGTGCATATGATGCTGTCCTTTATGAGGAAGACGAAAGGTCATGCCAAAGATTGTGAAGGATTAAGCAGGCATTTGTATTCAAATCATCTCTTTTAAAAGGTCACTTGTATGACAGAGTTAAGACGGATCCAACAGACTATGTACCGTTCTCAGGATGTAAATAAAAGATTCACAGCAAATCCTTTAGAGGCAGTCGTCGTTTTTGCACCTTTTCGTCGGTTCTGCTTGGGGCTGCGTGTATAACTTTGTAAAATGTGTTAAAAAAACATAAAAGGAGAGATGGCAAGCTCCAAACAGGCTGAACCACAGCTGAACATTGGCAGAAACTGATGACAGCATGTTGGGAACACAAGACTCTTACATGAATGCATTGCACAATGGCTATGTCAATAGAAATTAAGAAAGTCTTCTGCTCAACACAATTTATAGATATGGCATATCAGCACCCAACCCTGGTATTACAAATGATCTGTTTGTATCTGATTGACTACTTTACTAAATGACAACTTGGGACCAATTCCAATTTTAAAAAAGTTAAATTCTAGCACCACCATTAAGGCAGATGTACTTTCTCATCTGATTCAGTCCAGTTGCTCAGTTGCATATTTCTCAGTAAAATGTGGAAACGGTGAATAGAAGCAGCTGAAAGTCTCGCTTTTCCGCTCATAATCGGTTCATGTGTTAGTCCTGATGGTTTACTTCTTCTACACTTTGGAAGTCTATATGTAGTAGGTTTGTCATATCATTACCACTAGAAAGTCACCAAAGCCAATGACTTCTGGCGTTCGTAAGGGAAGTTCAAGATGAAAAGTACGGCTGGCGTGCAATCTGGATTTGGCTCAGACACAGAGAAAAAGAAGTTACTGATGCAGCCAGTTATCCAGGGTCAAAGCTCGGAAGAAAGTTTTAGAAAGAGCAGCTACTGAGAATTTCAATTGAATTTGAGTCAATGAAGTGATCTGCGAAAATAACAGCTGGCAGAGGACGCCCAGAAGGCACCGCTCTCTGGATCCAGTCATCTCCTATAACCAAAAAATGTTTTTCTCACAACCACTTCTCCGACAACTCAGTCACAGCCTTCCTGTGTGTTATCTCCTACCAAATCCATCCCTTTTACACCATAAAAGAGTACATTTGAGATGATGTGGAAAAGAATATTTACATCATTGATCAAGTCAATGTGGACAAAAGTTTTCAACGTCTTTCTGGATCTATGTGGTGGGTTATTGTACATGAATGGGGATGGCAGAATGAGATTATGCGCAGCAGAATATGTGCCTCAGCAAATGTTCTCATCATAGCCAAGGTTGGGCCAGTAAAATATTGCTCAGACGTTTTCTTCTTTTTTAAAGCATAAAAGAAATCTGCCTTTCAAGCTGCACCTTAGGCCATATTTTTGTTCCATCACAGGCTTTTCCCAGCTCAAAATACTCTCTTGACAACTATCTCATCAGAGTTTGACACAGGCTGTGGGCAGAAACGCGTACTAGTAAGGACAAGGCAGGGAACATAAAGACCAGCAGAATCGCATCCTGCTTCCTTTTGATATGTGTTTTTGTTTCCTAGATGTATAATTGATCTGAATGTAAAAGTCTCTTCAGTTCATTGTCCACTTTTGCTTGAATTACACAGCTTTTTTAGCAAACTGCTTCTATCATTTAGATAATCTGCACACTTGTTTAAGGCAGTGGCATGCATCTGTAAACCTGACACCATTTCTGAAATAAGGGAGAGTCGTTTAATATGCCTTGTTTCTTTTTCTGAAAAAGGAAAAAACAAAAATCAAATTACGCCTGAAGGTTTGCTCTGAGCAACAATTTATGTAATTTGATCAATTAGTTCGCGATCTTTTCTGTGGCGTCCAGCCAAGCTAAATGAACGGGCTGCAAATCCAAATGGTGATTTTTCTTTTTTGAAAAATTTCTGTACAGCTGCCAAAAAAAGGTGAAGGTTAGTTGAAAGTGTTTGTGTGACTTTCTGCTAGGAGGCAGCAATTATCCTGCACCGATTCCATTTATTCCCATTTTAGCCACCCACTTAGAGCCTTGTTGTGCACCGTTCTGCCATAATGGATTAATTATTTTTTGCAAAAACATCAAAGCAAAAAACAAAAGAAAAACAGAGATGCCATAGGAGGCAGTTTTTTTTTTTTTTGCTTAATTAAAAAAAGAATAAAAGTAACATCTTAAAGTATAAAGTTTAAAGGAACATTTTCACCCAAATGTTTAGTGTTTGAGAGGGTTTGTCTTATTTTAGAGTTTGTCAGGTGTGCCTGAGATTGGTCAGTCTGTCTATTATCCATCCATCCATCCATCCATCCATCCATCCATCCATCCATCCATCCATCCATCCATCCATCCATCCCAGGGGTCTCCAACTCTGGTCCTTAACGTCTACTGTCCCGCAGGTTTTAGATGCATCCCTGCTACAACACACCTGAATCAAACGAAGGCCTTTGCCAAATTTGATGGCTCACTAAAGAGGTTATGCAGTCACATGATTTAGGTTTGTTAGCTTAGGGTTGCATCTAAAGCTTGAAGGACAGTAGATCTCAAGAACTGGTATTGGGGTTTCCTAATATATCCTTTTTGTCTATCATGTGTCCGTCTGCTTGTCCATCCATCATTCCATCAAAAAGAAAATTGTCAAAAAGTCACTGAATTAGGAATTTCATCATAACGAACTCGAGGCAGCCCCGTCTTGTAGAGCAACTGTAACCAGTGAACATGTATAAAGTATCAGTGCTGTGGGAAGCTCCCCTGTTGCTGTGCTTTATATAGCAAATTAGATCATGACTGATTGTTTTTCTGTGCCAGGCATCATTTAGAAATTAATAATGTTCCCACTGAGGCAACTCGTATATAAATGTACGCACAACCTCATTCTCTTTAGATATAAACACATAGATCATGTTCCTGCACAGAACAGCAGGTTATTTATTAAAGGTATAACTTTTTAAGTAAACAGTGACTCAAGTTTTTAATATTTTACTCAATCCAGTATTTAATGGAATTGCATGAAATTTAACATCACTTTTTCCAGAATGTGTGTACCGGTGTGCTTTTTTTTTTTTTTTTTTTTTTTTTTTTTTTTTTTTTTTTTTTTAACTCTTATTTGCTGCTGAGGTTCAAACATTTCTCTACTGAAGGACAAATAAAGAATTTTCCATTACACATGTGGACAAAAATGTTTGTACCCCTCTGATGATGACCAAAAACACCACAATAGACACTGAAATAACTTGAAACTGGCAAAATCAATGAAAAATAATTTTAAAAAAAAGAAAATTAACCAATGAAAAGCAGACCTTGCTTTTGAACTCTTTCAACAAAATCATTTTTAAAAACTTGAAAAAAGACTGAACATAATTTGACTATGGGGCCATGTTAAGCTAATCTGTGTCTACTAATTAGCATAACAGGTGTGTCCAAGCTTTAAATCGGGCAGTCTGTCAATTTAAAGGGTGACAAGGAGTCGGTTTTCTGTTTGGTGACATGGTGTGAATCGCACTAAACATGGACGACAGGAAGGAAAGGAGGGCGTTGTTCCAGGAGATTAGAAAGAAAATGTTATGAGCCCTGATCTAAATCAAATTGAAATGTAACATCTGGAGGAGGCAAACCTGAAGCAGCTTTGCCATTTTCTATGGCTTGAAAAACCTTACATTGACTCCGTTATACATATTTTTTTGTCCCTTTGGCCAAATAGCTCAGTCTTTGTACGATCTTTTCACAAAATGTTTCTCTGTAAGGAATTTTGCTTGTGCATGTGTGCAGCTACAAATTTCAGTCAAGCTTGAAGGTGTCACTTTGGGAGCAAGAACTTCATTTCTGGTTTTTCATGGTGATGTAAAATGTATTTATTTGATCCCGTTTGTATTTTTATTGACACAGTGTGAACTAAGAAAAAGCCACAATAAATTCACATTTTTGCACCTAGCTTCTGCAAATATTGTGCAGGGTGTGTATTTCTGTCTGTCACATAAATTATCCCTAGCCTGAAGAAATAAGTCATAAAACATAAACAAAAACAGAAATAAGACGTGAAGATTATTTGCCATTCAAATCAAAAGCAGGATTGTTTTTTGTTTTTGTTTTTTTGTTTTTTTTACAATTTTGAAATGTACTCTGTTAACAAAATTTAAATACCAACATCACAGGAAGGTGAATTCTCCACCTTCCTGTGAAATACACTAGTTTAAGTTACTGCACACCATAAAAATTGTAGTTAATCAGGAACAAGAAGCATACGAAACAAGATGCAATGTGATTTGCGTTTTATTCCCCTAGTATTTCTAATAAAATTAAAATTTGAAGTGTTGAGCAGTTTGTTAGCAGATTTGTCCTCCACAATACTTTCTCCTTTTAAAACGTGTTCAAACATTATTGCTTTCCCCCTTTCCCTTTTGCTTTATTTTGCTTTTCTTTTTTTCCCCAGCTAAAGAACAGTCTGAGAGACGAGCTATGTTTGGACCAGGGGCCAGACTCTGACAACATTCCCATCATGTATCTTTGTCATGGAATGACACCCCAGGTGAGTGAGTTTTCGTTCCTAAGCCATTCTATTCTCATCTGTCAATTAAATCTCCTGAAGCGGCAGCAAACACCGATCACACGGGGATCCAAAGGTCTGCAGCTGATAGTCGGAGGAACTTCATTATCTGTGATATTTTGAATAGGGGAATTAGATTGAGCAACCTTTGCAGAATGTTGGAAGTGATTTCTGAGTAAGGTTTTGGACTCGTCTGTCCAGAGAACATTGTTTCAGCAGCCTGTGGCAATGTGTGTAGAGCACAATAAAAAGTAAAACTTTAAGCAGTAATAATGTCAGTTTCAAACAAGTAAATCTGCTGAGTAACAATGTTCTAATTATGTAATCTAGTGATCACACAGCAGCAAGTGCAAATGTAACCCATTAAAGTAGGAGCATATGTTGAGATATCCTAATTTGTCTCACACCACAAATTAAGTTTATTACTCTCATCAGAAATAATTAAATTGTTTTTTTATTCATTTTATGTTTACATGTATATTTGTACGTTTTTTTTCGTTTACTTTTTTTTTATATCATAAACACCCAAATTACCAAATTTGTCACATAAAGATAAACGCTGCCATCAGCTGTCCCATTTTTTTTCCCATTTTCTTTCAGTAAAATCCATTCAATAATGTCTTTTTTTTATATAAATATTAGTGGCTTCTTCCTTGAGGACAGCTGAACAAAAAGGCATTGCATTGATTTATTATTGTTCTCTAAGCTTTTTCTAGGTCTTTAGCTGGTAAATGGTCTATTGCACTTAACAGCTGGTTGCTAAATTAGTTTGTCTGTCGCCTGCTGCCAAAACCAGCCCTGAGGACCAGTAAAGCAAAAACAATAATAAAAAGGCTGTGGAGTTTCAAGGAAGTGCATATTTGAACTTTATTTTATTTATGTTTTATGGGCCTCCTAGTTCAAGTAAATGGTTTAATCTTACACTTGGTCACAGATGATTTGGAGTGAAAAACATTATTGTCATTTTGTGAAATTTCGTCACTATGGGAATACATTTTCTTTTTTTTTTATCTAATTCAAACATAACATATTATTGAATCATCATGATGTGTTTTGGCTTTTTCAGTTCAGTTCAGCCTTTTTTTTTTTTTTTAAGCTCTTACAGCTGAAGTAGCAGAAAAGTTATGAGGGAGTGAGCGAGGCCAGTCATCTGCTCTATCAGCTCACTGCAGATTTAGACCTCTTAGTTCCAATGTGTGACTCTAGCTGTGCTTATGGCCTGCCTAATGGAGACTTCAGAAAAAATAATTTAAAAACCAGCCCACGTTTTCACGACTTTGGTCTGCAGCGTAATGAAAAGAAAACTGTCCATGTTGCATAAATAGTGCAACGAATTAAGATGTAGACTTCTATACGTTGCAGGCCTGGTATCTGGAAGAGCTTTGTCTCCTTTGTCAGTAATGTTAATAGCTTTGACCGGCACATTGACGTCTGAAACAGCGGTTTGTGCATTAATGCGTCTCTCCTTTCGTTTTGCCTCTCACATGTACTCTGCTCCGCATAATCAGCAGGTACTGATAAAGGAATTGATTTGTATTGGTCAATTTTTCTCCCACTGCCATTGCTGTTTACCTACTTCTCTGAATACTTCTTGCACTTTCTCTCTCTTTTTTCCCTCCAGGACCAGCTTCTTTCGAACGATTTTACTTAGTTTGACCCCAGTAGATTCATACTTGAAATGTTTTCATATCCACCTCATGGATTTGGCTCAGGCTCATTATGAACAGGACAGACAGAAACCCAGTAAATGTATTCAGCCTCTGGCAGAGCAGACTGCCTTCATTCCCAGTTAACTAAGACCTATGGGCCATCTTTGTTCCAGTTCTCCAGGGGACCAGATGATGCATTAATCTTCATCTATAACCTATGAGATGATTATGTGTTAAAGTTTGAGTGGCTTGTTTTGCCAAATCACCTGTAAGGCTTCTTTAAAATTTTATTTGAAACCATAATTGTTCTAAAATTTTTCTCAACAAACTTGAAATGCTCCAAACATTCAATTTCTTATCAGAGAGCAAGAGAAATAAAAAATAGAAAATTAAACCTACTTTATTGCAATTTTTTTTTTAATATGCAGTGCATGTCTGAAATATAATCATGCAAAATGTGCAAATAGCACCTTTCAGCTCCCAGCAAAAATGTGTGAAAAGTCTTGAAATAAGTTCATAATTTCTTGCAGTAGCAAAAGTCCGTTCTGAAGTTTTTGGAAAACTACAACCTTTTATTTTTAGAATTTTCTTTTTAGTGAATGGAGGAACAAACTGTCTTATTTTTGTTTGTTTGTTTTGTTTGTTTGTTGGGGGGATTTTTTTAATCAGTGGAGTCAAACCCTTTGGAAATCTTTTTTTTCTTCTTCTTTTTTTTTATGGGGAAATTTGAAGGCCATCTGTCATTTTTGACAGATTACGAGCCTTGACCACTTTGTGCAAAGGTTCAAGTTGACGCACAGAATATAGATAACTAAATCAATCAAAAAAAGATCCATATTTGAGCATCTGAGCATTGTTAAAGAGTTATGGAGGCTTTGGAGTGCGGCCGTGATGCCTTCAGGTCACAAACCGATGCAGAACTGCAGCAACGAGGGCCATCTTGGAGTTTGCAAGCCTCCATAACAACCATTAGGTTTGAATACACTCCAAAGTAACATGTGGGAAAAGTACTGCATATCCATAATTAGGTATGGAGGATGATCTGTGATGCTGTGGGCATATTTCTCTTGGGGAGATTTCTTAGAGCTCAAGGTATCCTGAATCACTGAACTTTTTAAATACAGGTATTGTGTTTTCCTACAGAAAACTGCTACGGGGTCCTTTCTGAGTGTTTTAACAGGATAATCCAAAATATATGGAGAAATATAAGAATATATTAATATATTCCTATTGAAAATAATTGTGCAATTTGTGAAGTTTTGTAGGACAATGCTTGATCACAGAACAATATATGAAATTACATATAATGAATCTCCAAGATTTCTTTGGGTTTGTTTTGTCATAGATCATGCTACTGGGAAAAATAAATAGAAGAAGAAGAAAGATAATTTATTTCAAGGCTTTTTACACATCATCACCATGCGCATCAAGGCCGCTGTGTGTTGCATGAGTTCATAAGTGTTTGGACACAAGCTGAGCTCTGCCTCTTCAGTTTGGAAGCTAATGTTTTATTTACTCCAATTGAAAAGATTATTTTTACTTATGTCTTTGGACGAATTTCAGTTTATGCAAATGAATGAATTACTTGTAGTGAGCCCTAATTCAGCCGCTGCACTCCATCATGCTTTCAGATAATAAAGGATTTTTAGGCTGTTTGAAAGGAGTCTAGATATCTGCAGAATTTCTATTGCACATTATGAAATCATCAAGGGGAACTAATCACTTTAAAAACTCCGGCTCGTCATGGTATTTGAATCAGAGGTGCACACATTAAATGAATAAATGAAGCAGCAGAAGGTCTTTTTTTGAGCCGTACCTTCTGCTGTAATCAGAGACGGCTTAGAGAGTTGTTAGAGGACTATAGGTAAAACACATCATCCTTCCTGCATTTTCCTCTTCCAGTCTGCCACTCCTTAAATTAGCCTAATGAAATGTCCCGCTCCGGTGACGATCTCTGCTTTGACTGACAGGCAGTGAAACAATTGGCAGCCTTATTCTTCATTCAGAACAATACTTTTAAAACCAGGGTTTGCACCACAGAGGTTTAAGCTGAAAGTGTGCAGCTGAAAGTGTGCAGCTGACGTAATGCTTCACAGCTGAGGTCAGACTCCCCGACAACTCCTCTGGCGCTTTCACATCTTCACACATTCATTCTTTATTCATGAGGAATACCTTTTTCTTTTTTTTTTCTTTTTTTGCAGTTTTACTCTGAACAGTACTAATCCCCATTCTGATCTTCTTTTTTTTTGTGTATTCCAGGTTTTGCCAGTGCTAATGATTACCTCTGAGTTGTCTCTTCTTAAACAGAAAGACTGAACTGCTATGTCCAAGCGGATGGGTGGATGTGGGTTTGAATACTTGATGATCAGCTGATCCCCAGTGAAGCGCGATTGCTATTCGGGTTTCCTTCTCACCCTTTCACATCGATAAGAGGAGAGATGATTAAAAGAAAAATCAGATGATGGCAAAAAAATGAACCCTGAAATGAAGCAGAAACAGTGGAGTAGACGACATGTCGTAGAGGGGAGCCTCGTTGAGGTGCCATTTAGAAAAGCCTTCTTTAGATGTGCTGTAGAACTACTAAAGCTGTCGCACTCGTACCGTTGGTGTCAGATCAGCTTTCTGCAAATGAAAAAGCCCAGGGGAACTGTGTTAATCATAGTTTCAGGCTGGAATAATCTGACATATTCAAATCTAAAAAAGATTCAGCAAGCCACACAATAAAGTGTGTGTGTGTGGGTGTGTGTGTGTGTGTGTGTGTGTGTGTGTGTGTGTGTTTTTGTACACCTCTTCTTCAAGCTGATAACTTTGTGGAACTCTGCAAGGAAGCTTTGAAAGCTGCAGAAGAAAACCTGACTCATACTTCCACTCTTCCTCAATTGTATCTTTCCTAAATGAAGTTTGCATTTCTAATGTTTGGTTTCTGTTGATTGAATCCAGATGATATTTTTTTTATTATTATTATTATTTTTTTATCAGCCTAACTAGAAATCTTTTGTGATTAATGAGGGGTAAACAGACTTGGATTCTTGAGGGCCTCCAGCAGATATTATCATCACTCACTGATATTAGTTCTTAATAAGAAAGATTTTTCAAAATGTCTCTTATCTTTCAGACTCATCATGTTAACATTTATAAATAGACGGATGAGAGGCCGCTTTGTTCTTCATTTGGAGTAAAACCATAATGACAAATTACACCCTCACACTACAATTCTAAGGTGGTCATAATTTTGACCTACTTGTGTGAACATGCAGATTTATGAGGGACGTTATTTTTGCTTTTGTCACATGACAGCAACAAACAATTGAGAGATTATTATTGGGAAGTTCA